GTGAATGATGATCCTTAAAAAATATTTAATCATACCGAACACTTAAAGGCATAAAAAACACTAAGAAATAAACCACAAGAGAAAACTAGCTACTCGCATCATAACATCTAAAGCAAGGCCCAAAACCTAACTCATGTAACCTACAATAACAAAAACCCTAATTTAACCCACAACCCTATACCTAATTGAAGCCGTGCCGGGATCGATTTCTTTGCATATCGCCATAAAGAACTCAAACTTGGTATGGAATGATCTAGTTACACATAAAGCCAAACAATAGTTTTTATTCACTCGTATTATACAACACATGAATCAGTAAAACATAATCACATTTAAGAAAAAGAAAATATGGCATGCATGACATCTATATTTCTACTCGAGTAGATTGCAGCAAAGTTGTTCAAATCCCATGATGCATCGCAGTTTAGTGAAAGTAAAGATATTGGAGAGAGGATAACATGAGTGGGCTTAGCATGAAGACGAAAAAGTCGTCATGGGAAATTCAGATATGGGAATAGCTCAGACCAAATCACTACACAAGAGGATATTATTCACCCGAATAAAGACATAAAGGAAAGGAAAAATAAAATAAAAAAGATGGATGGGAGGGGAGAAAGAATAGGCACTCTACCTCCTGTTTTTTTTTACCAGATCGAGAAGGAGAAGAATGATAAAAGTGAATGATGATCTTATATATAAAAGAATAGTGTTAATTTATAACATGTACGAATTAGTAAAAACACATTTCAGAAAATGACTCCAAAAAATAACTTATCGGGGTGAGGATTTGAATTTGAGATTTTAAGTGGAAGGGCTAGCGGTTATTAGTAAGTTTGATACTTCGATATTTAGTTGTGACACATTGTGGCTTGTTTGTAAAAAAATAAAAACAAAAACTTCACTAACAGTTTAATATTAGTGTTGTGTGTGGAAAACCCCTCCATTACGTAGCGGGGATCCGTTTTCACTCATCCCACGTACATTGAAATATTAATTGAATCCTTCTAATTTGTACGGCCCTTGTAAAATTTGGTCTGTGTTATGATATTCTTAGTGCATACTATGTGAGAGAGTATGAAGATAAAATAATCTCACATCTGTGAAATAAGGGAAAAATTTTGTGAGGATTTATAAGAGATTGAGATACTTTCCATATTACCAATTGATTTTATAGTGGAATCTTAACTTTCTTTATGGTATAAGAATAAGTTGGTCCACGTTTAAAGCTCAACGGCCACATGTGTTCCATGTCCGCCCCAATTCGTGTTGTCATGTTGTCCAATATGTACTATCAGAGCAGGTTGGCACACGTGTAAATCCCAACAGTCACACATACTCTATGTCATCCAATTCATATTGTTCATCTGTAAGCTTGAAAACTCGTTACACATAAAAAAGTGCATGTGGATGTGAAGATATAAAAATCTTACATCACTAAAAGGAGAAACCATGTTCTCTTCCATTTTTCTCGGGGCCATGCTCAAAGCTTGTTATTTTTAATAGACGAGCTAACCAATCACATGTGTTTGTTTATTTTCGAGCTATGAGCTTTGAATATAACTTGTCAACTACATTTTCAAGAGATAATATTACAAAGGTTGTACTTTGTTAATTACCTTTGAAGATTTATTCCTAATTTATATTGGGAAAAAAATTCATGCATTACTTTACTCTTTTCCAAATATTGTGACACTTTCAATACGTAGCCTAGCTAGCCTTGTGTTAGATTTATTATTAATTTATATTGGGAAAAAAATTCATACATTACTTTATTCTTTTCCAAATATTGTGACACTTTCAATACGTAGCCTAGCTAGCCTTGTGTTCTTTGTTGGTGACACTTTCAATACGTAGCCTAGCTAGCCTTGTGTTCTTTGTTGTAAGACTCATAAATTTGAATATAAAAGTGAATTTTGTTCAACTAAATCTGATTTATTTGGTATTTTCCATTGTAGAGGGCATGCGTATATACGTGCGTGCATATATGTATATGTATAGTTTGCATATAATATATGTACTATTATATTTGTTGGCTTGTATTAACAAATATGTGATGGAGATTGGTTTATAATTGAATGGTGGAGATTGTCTAGTTGATGAAAACTACTAAAAGAATCGTTGAAGATTGTATAGTTAGTTTTTTTGTAGGAAAATATAAATTGTAAACCCTCTCTCATTTCTATAATCTGTTAAACTTAAAAGATATCAATTCAAGCTTCCATTTCTTTTTAAGGCCCTCAAGCTTTTTCTTCTCTGTTTGGATTTCATATCCTTTTCAATGTAGTTAATAACTTGAATTTTGTATGGGATTATGTATCTATCAATATATATAGAAGCTACTAAATATAATAATTCAAGGAGATAATTCAATTTATCTTCAAACACAACAAAAAGCCAAAAAAAAAAAAAAAAATCTATGTGTTCAACCTACTAGGGCTCATTCCTCCCTAAAATATAGCAAGCTTTATTGTCATATCATATGGCCCGCAAATACAATATCTCCCTCAAAAAAACATGAGGTTGTTGAAGAATTAGGGTTGTGAATAAAAGATATGATGAAAAAAAAAGTAAAAAAAAAAGAACAAAGATGAGGTTGCGTGTCACATCCCGGCCCGGGGGGGCACCACTTCCCGAGCCCGATCCACCACCGTAGTACGATATTGTCCGTTTTGGGCCCCGACCACGCCCTCACGGTTTTGTTTCTGGGAACTCACACGAGAACTTCCCGATGGGTCACCCATCCTGGGAGTGCTCTCGCGCGCTACTCGCTTAACTTCGAAGTTCCCATGGAACCCGAAACCAGTGAGCTCCTAAAAGGCCTCGTGCTAGGTAGGGATGAGAATATACATTTAAGGATCACTCCCCTGGGCGATGTGGGATGTCACATTGCGGGTTGAATTTGTTAGGATAATTATTTAGAGAAAATATTTTATTGGAGGAAAAAAAAAAAAAACAGAGAATACACGAAATAATTTCGAACACTGAAAAAATTCAGTTGAACAAGTAGCACAATGGAATTTCCACAACAACAAAACAAAATATCTAATGAAAGCCCATTACGTGAAATTTACATATTTTTTGTTTTTATACGTATCTGAAACTATAAATACAACATGAACAAAAGCCCGCATGTTTTTTAATTTGTAATTAGAATTAAAAATTAAGAAGATGTATTTCTTATTTACATGTTTACTAGGACAAGTGATACCTTTACAAAAATAAGAAATTCAAATTTTCTTTTAAGTTTATACAAGCAATATTAAGGGAGAGGAATCGAATTTGGTACCTTGTGGTGCAAAGGTGAATCATTTAACTCTTAATTTTGAAGGAATTAGACTCTTTAGGAGAGATATTATTAGAATATGGATAATACTTGTATCCCCTTATGCAGGGATGCACATATCTCTCATATGTGAATACTCTTGACCGGATAAAATCAACGATCATAATCGTTCAACTTATTTCCGATTGAAATGATTTTTTGTTGAGGTGATCTTCAAATAAAGATTAAGAAATAGAACGGTTACAAGGAGCTCATCCCCCTAAGGAGGGAATGCAAGGATAGAGTTCATTATTTTGTAAGAAATTATTTTTGCACACTCGTTTTCTCCTTGCGCACATTGTCTTTGTTTTTTTTTTCTTAGTTCTCCTTTAATTTATGCAACAAAAAATAAACATGCACGGGATAAAAAATGATGTGAAAAAATCACTTCATTTTTTTGCTTATTATGCATCACCTTTATTTCTCAAATTTCACCTAGCATATAAAATAATTTATCGAGAACAACGTCATTTTAGTAATCAAATTGGTTTTCATTTTGATTGAAGTGAATTAGTAAATAACTTATAATATAATGTTAGGGAAACCAAATTTGCAAACCAAATGATGTGTCATCGATATGAAATAAGTACGTTTATCAATATTTAAGTAATAATCCAATCATCAACATTCACATCATTTAGTGTACAAAATTTGGTTTCCCTAGTTTTTGATAAAATCAAGGGAATTGTTATTGACAATCCAAAGTTTTCATTTTGCACTCTGAACTTTCTATATTTAGAAAGAAAAATATACTTGTGAGTAATGCAAATGAAAATTTTAAATTGCTAATAACAGTTATCAGAATCAATATGATACTTTCTAATATGCATGGAGAGAGGTTAGAGCATCTCCAAAGGAGATGCCAAAATGTACACATTAGCTAGAACAATAAAAAAGGACCATACTAATATTCTCCAACCAAAGTGTCAAATCCTATATGGCTATGACATGGATTGGCAGCAAAAGAGGTTGCCGTCAAATTTGACAACAACTTCAAATATTTTTCTATTAATTATTAAATGTATTTTATGAACTTTTAATTAGTTTAATCAGTTATTATAATTAATGTTGAGTTGAGCGATGCAATTATCCTTTTTTTTTTCTTCTTTTCAATCATCAAAGGTGAACAAATTACTGATTAAACTTTAAATGTTCTTTATTAAATTTTAATTAGTTTAATAATTTATTTTATAAATAATAATTTAATTTGACATATCGGTTGGAAAACAAAACTTTAAAAGATGTTAAAGTGCCACATAAGCTGTCAAAATTTAAATTTTATATTCAAAATTTGACATCTCTTTTGAAGATGATCTTAGAACTCAGATGCATAGAACGGGTCCATCCATTCCATCTGACGTGGCAATGCTAATGTTTATTCGAGACAATTTAGTATGCAAATTCAACGAGAATTTGGTGAACTCAATCTCCTAAAGTAAAATTATACAGACATGTCATTCAATGGTGTTTATCCCCAAATCTGCGGTTAGGAACTTGGGAGTTGGGGGTGGAATTTTTCTTACTTGCAGTTCAAGTGAGTTTTGTCCTTTAGCTCCAAAAGTGACGTTTAATCATAACGGACAAGACCTTTATTTTGATCGGAATAGCAAGTACTTGGAACTTGTCCAAACTTTTTCTCACTTACAGTTTTAAACCAATTTTTTTTTTTTCTTCTTCTTTTGTTATCATACTGGCAGTTTAACTTTACCATACATCTTCCAACTCATGCCAATTCATTTCCCACCGCCACCCCTTGGATTTTTGGTACTTCCAATTTCCCAACAGAATGATTGAATTAGTGAACCAGTTTTATACACAAATATATGTATATATGGAGAGAGAAAGAGGAGAGAGAGGAGAGAGCAACTGGATGTGTTTGTGTTTCCCACCAATTTAACCTTTTTATGCGACTGAATAATCCTTGAAAAGCTTGTTCCTCTCTTTCTTCTTCTCTCTCTCTCTTACTTTCTCTCTCCTCTCCTCTCCTCAAGTGGGTCATTCTCTTCGAGGTCTTACTCTCCCACTTGCTGGTCTTTGCTGTCTTCTGCCTCTCCTACCTGCTCCCCTTTTTTTCTCTTTTATTTTTCTTTCTATTTTTTCAAACTCCATACCAATACCCTGCTCTCCCTTCTCTATGCTTTTTTTTCTGTCTCTGAATACAGAAGAAGAAGATCCAATTCTCCCAGCTGGGAGTTTCTGCTTTCTGAAAAGTTTTGCTTCGAGGAGGTAACATGGATGGATCAAAAGTTTTGATATTTGATTGATACAATCCTGTTGTGTTTTGCTGTTTTGGGTATTTGTTTCTGGGGTGAACTTGATATCCAATACTGGGGTTTTGTTTCTCTGTGGAAAAGCACTTTCAATCTAGGCATCTGGGGTTTTCCTGGTACTGGTAAAGGTTGAAACTTTACTGGGTATCGCTTGGAATGGTGGATTTTGGATATGATTGGGGGGTTTTGACCCTTTGAAGGGCTCTGTTAAGTGCTTCTGCAAAAAGAGCTTTTTGGATTGCTTTTCGGCTTGTGGTGATTTAGTGCTTAGGATTTCATGCTTGGTCCAACACAATGGAGATGCTTATGGCCAGATTTTTATTTCTTTGGCATTCGATTTTGTTGTGACTTATGAAAACAATATGAAGAACCTTATTAAGAAACTGCAAAACATGTCCAACCAATCAAAAGATTCAGAAGGGTCTGCAGCTTCATCAAGGGGCAGTAAGTCCATTAGCAAGTCGTCCTCTGAAAGGGAAAGGCTTTTGCACTCAAGGTCCCATCAGGGTTCTGAGCATAAACCCTTTTCGGGGATTTCGGGTTGGTTGAATTCAGTTGGCAATAGGCATACCCCTAGTCCTCCATCATCTTCAAATGTCAATAGGGCCGAGAGAATGGAGCAGCCACCTGATGCAGCTGTTAGTGGGAGTGGTTTAGATGTTGTTTCCGATACAGGTAGGCGCGATTCGGGGTCTAGTACCTCAAGGGATGCTGATATAACAGAAGAGTATCAGATTCAATTGGCTTTGGAATTGAGTGCTAGGGAAGATCCAGAGGCAGTTCAGATTGAGGCTGTTAAGCAGATTAGCTTGGGGTCTAGTGCTCCTGATAATACTCCAGCTGAAGTTGTAGCATACCGCTATTGGGTACGTTTCTTTTTGTGTACTTTCTGATTGAATTTCGGTTGACTTACTGTTCATTATCTTCAAATACAATCAAACTAGACCAAACGGTGATCAACATCCTTTCATTTAATTTAAACTTGGAATTTGTTTGGTTTGTCAACTTTCCGCTTATAGTATGTTAATGATATGGCAGCTTGAAACTAAACGAAAGTTCACTTGTCTTATGTACTTAGATGAAAGTATTCTAAGTACTAGGCTTTAGTTACCTTCGTCGCCAAAAGTGTAAAAAAAAAATTGTGCGGAAAGATATTGGTGACAACATTATTGCTCCTGTGATCCTTGCCTCTTCAATACCTGTGATGAATGAGACACCGGACACCTTTTATTGATAACCTGCTGGCAGTTTAAACAATGTTGTTGAAAGTCATCATCAACGGTGCTGTGTATCATCTGCAACTACTTGTGTCAATGCACGAGTAGTGAATATACAAAATCTATACCTGCACAAAAATGGGGAAGGGAAGTTGGTGAAGGGTGGGTGGGACTTCTACATTTTGAGAAGGAATAAATAGTTTCCTATTGTTAGGAACAACCGCCAAAAACTGGAGCATTTCTGTCCTGCTGCTCATCAACATGGCTATGAAAATTTAAACCTTCAACCTAGAATCTCACATCTGTGTTTTATGTTATGTTTTCGCTAGCAGCATGTAGTGATTCTTAAATTTAATTTGTCTCTTCAGTTTTGTAATGTTTAATTTTTTTTTTCTAACCTGTCTCATATCGTAGATTTATCTATTCTCACAGAATTACAATGCTCTTAGCTATGATGACAAGGTCGTGGATGGGTTCTATGATCTGTATGGAATATTGACGGAGTCAACCTCAGAAAGAATGCCTTCCCTTGTTGATTTGCAAGGAGCACCTTTGTCAGATAGTGTCACCTGGGAAGCAGTTTTGGTCAATCGAGCTGCCGATGCAAATTTGTTGAAACTTGAACAGGTGGCCCTAGAATTGGCTGTAAAGTCAAGTTCAGATCCTCTGGTTTTTCTAAACAGCAATCTGGTGCGAGAACTTGCTCTTTTAGTTGCTGACTACATGGGTGGACCAGTTGTGAATCCTGAAAACATGTTGAGAGAATGGCAAAATCTTAGTTACAGTTTGAAAGCAAACATTGGTAGCATGGTTTTGCCACTGGGTTCTCTGAGGATTGGATTAGCTCGACATCGTGCATTGTTGTTCAAGGTACTTGCTCTCTACAGTGGCATGTATGCTTTGTTCCATCATATTATTTATATCATGGTCTTCCATTACTGGTTGCTTATCACTCACCTTTTATGTTGGTAACTAGGTTTTGGCTGATAGTGTGAGCATCCCATGCCGGTTGGTGAAAGGACAACAATACACGGGGTCCAGTGATGTTGCAATGAACTTTGTAAAAATTGATGATAGGTAACTCTTACAAGTGTGTTACCTTTAATGAAGACACTTGATTACGTTGTTTTTGCTTTTGTTTTCCATGCCTTAAGAAATGATTCTACACTCATATATAAGGTATTTTGGACGTGTTAATTGTCAAATATTGCTGCAAATGCTCTCAGGCCATTAAAGTGTGTATCTTTATGTTTTTCTCATTTGAAGTTCCACAATCGTATTCTGTTTTTAAGATATGTACCATGTGAATTTCAGGGAGTATATTGTTGATCTGATGGCAGACCCCGGCACACTTATTCCATCTGATGCAGCTGGATCACATATAGAATATGACGAATCTTACTTTGCCGCCAGTCCTTTGTCTAGAGACATTGATTCCTCTCATGTTGCTTCTTCCAGTAGTGGAGTTGGGAGTTCGTATGAAGAACATTCGGACTTTGGAACATTAGAGAAGAAATCCAGGTTAAGAAATTTTGCTTCTTCCACAAGGGATTCCGAAGAGAGAGAAAAACCAGTTTCTCGTGCAAATTTACCCAGACCAACTGAATGCGAGGAACAACCCAAGATGCCTTCAGATGAATTTAGATATGCCTCTGACGTAGAAAAGATGCTGGTGCAGGAACTTCCAGGAAAGCCAAATTATCCTTTTGCGCATGCAAGATCCCCTTCATGGACTGAAGGTGTTAGCTCTCCAGCCGTTCATAAAAAGAAGGTTAAGGATGTTTCCAAATACATGATTGTGGCTGCCAAGGAGAATCCAAATCTAGTTCAAAAGCTTCATGATGTTTTACTTGAAAGTGGAGTTGTTGCTCCCCCGAACCTGTTTAGGGAAATATATCCAGAGGAGTTAGATGTGTCAACAGTTGAGACCAAGCGCCAGGCAGAAGATAAGAGCGAACATAAAGAAAGGTTTGGAACACAAAAAGCTATAAGTCAAGATGATAAAAGGCCAGCTCACTCTCTGCCTCCTTTGCCTCAGCAAAGGGTGAATCTTAAAGCTAGTACTTCCGGTCAACCAGAGATTCTTAAGCCTGTGGAAGGTTTAGGGGTCAGCCTTCCACTTGATACGAGGGAAGTGACTGGCCAGAATATCTCATCACAGCCTGAAGCATCTCCAGTTAAACATACAAAGAATGTCCCTGTTGCTGCAGCAGCAGCGGCCGCAGCAGCTGTTGTTGCATCGTCTATGGTAGTTGCTGCAGCAAAGTCAAGTACTGACCCAACTCTCGAACTTCCTGTGGCGGCTGCTGCCACTGCTACTGCTGCAGCTGTGGTTGCAACAACTGCAGCTGTCAATAAGCAATATGAGCAGGGTATGAGAAGTGATGGAGATGCAGAAAGTGGTGGTTTTGAACCAAGGGGCAGTGGTGGCCGTGAACATGATGCTTTGGGAGTTAGTTCAGAAGGCGAGCGAACATCAGATCGATCAGCAGGTAATGAAAGCACTAGATCTGACGTCACAATTGATGATGTTGCAGATTGCGAGATTCCCTTTGAGGATATCATCTTGGGTGAACGTATTGGACTTGGTACTGACCTCTGCATTATGCTATAAATGTTCTACTTCTCATATCTAAACAAAACTAGTCTAAATGGTGTTCTGTCTCAATACTCAAATTCTAATTTCACATGTTCATACACCCTGTACACTGCAGGATCGTATGGGGAGGTCTATCATGGAGACTGGCATGGGACTGTAAGTTTTCAGATGCTATTCCTAAAAGTTGAGCCATTGTATTGTCTGCACGCATTGTGGCATTTTGAGTGTTTTTCGTTATTTGGTTTTACAGGAGGTTGCTGTGAAGAGGTTTCTAGACCAAAAGTTTTTGGGCGAATCACTTGATGAATTCAGAAGTGAGGTACAAGCTTCGACCTTCACCCATTTCATGAACCTTTTCACGTTCGATCATTTTATGGCATCAATGCATGCTATCTCCTTACTAGCTGGGGAGGACAGGAAGTATTCTGCCAAGGGGGTGGAAGGAAAAACTTTGTTTGAGAGGGAGAGGGGGGAGTACACTACTAAACCTAAGAATTATTTGCACCATTTATATAAATGTAGTTAAAACTTTGCAGGGACCACCATGGTTCGGTTATCGCTTTAGGTGTTCTAGATTCGTTTAATTATAGTGAATGAAGTAAGGAGTTCTCTCTCTCCCTAGAGTAACATTGTATCCTTCTATGTACTTAGGCAGCGTTTGGTTGCTGGAATAAACAATAGAATGGTATGGAATCACAATTGCATTGGAATGGAATCGATGTTTAGGAAGTTAGAGGGTAAAGTAGAAATATTCTCCATGTTTAATGTGCTTTCCAGAATCTTTCCTTCAAATATTGAAGTTAATCTTTTATTCGTAAAATTTGAAGGTTCGGATAATGAAAAGAGTCAGGCATCCTAATGTTGTTCTCTTCATGGGTGCAATAACTCGCCCTCCAAATCTTTCCATTGTTACAGAATTTCTTCCAAGGTATTCCAGAAATTTCATTCTCTTTTTATGAAACAGTTACTTTCGAGTGTCTTTTATGGAATTCAACTTGTTTCATAGATATTGTCGTAACTAATAGTTCTTGATTCTTAATTCTACACAAGTACAAGGAGCTTCTTTGCCTTAAGAACACAACCATTTTGTCTCCTTCAAAACGCAAGTACCATTCACAAGGATTGGATTTTATTATAGTTTATTTTTAACTATTACCCTCAGTTTCTTAGAAATGGCTAATATTGATCTTCATTTGGCGTCGTAGTCTGGCTGAAACAAAACGCAGCACTGATTTTGTGTTTTTTGAATTATCGAATTTCGTTGTTTTGACCTTGGTCTATATATTTATGTATATAAGAAGTTAAGAACTGGATTGTGTTGATTTGGTTAATTATATTCATGCGTTATTAATATGTTATATTTTGCAGAGGTAGTTTATACAGGTTATTACACCGGCCTAACAATCAATTAGATGAGCGAAGGCGCTTGAGGATGGCTCTTGATGCGGTAATATTCTCTCGTTCTTTCCATTATTCCAGTATGAGCCAACAATCATGTATTGTAATTGATATCTTCATCTAGCTTAACTTTGTTTTTTCAATGATCAAATCTTCAGGCTCGCGGAATGAATTACTTGCATAACTGCACTCCAGTAATTGTACACCGTGATTTGAAGTCTCCAAATCTTCTTGTTGACAAGAATTGGGTTGTGAAGGTGTGTTTCTTATCTCTTTGGCGATATTCCTGTACACATATAATGTATGGGTAGGATGTGAAGTTTTCTGCTTGTTATTAGGTCTGCGATTTTGGATTATCACGAATGAAGAACAGCACATTTCTCTCATCAAGGTCGACTGCAGGGACGGTAAAGCCCTACTCGATGACTTCTCTTTCTCAAATGCTGCATATATTTGATTTATTAAATCTTGAAAGCTATATCTTCAGGCTGAATGGATGGCTCCGGAAGTGCTACGAAATGAACCTTCCGATGAAAAGTATGTGCACTCCCCACCAAATGTTGTATTATGTGTAACTTTTGTTTCCGTAGTTTTAGTTTTACTGATATATAAAATTTGGTTTACTGTGCAGATGTGATGTTTATAGCTACGGGGTCATATTATGGGAGCTCTTTACGATGCAACAGCCATGGGGGGGAATGAACCCGATGCAAGTTGTTGGTGCGGTTGGATTTCAGCATCGCCGTCTTGATATTCCAGATAATATAGATCCTGCAGTTGCAGATCTCATTAGAAAATGCTGGCAAACGTGAGTATGCTTTCGGTATCTATTTTTCTTGTTTTATTTTCGTAATTATAGTCTTATCATTTGTAAATCAATTCAAATGTGTATTTAGGCAGATGAACAAACCTTACATTTGACCTAATTAACATTGCAGAGATCCAAAATTGAGACCGTCCTTTGCTGAGATCATGGCTACTCTGAAACCGTTGCAGAAGCCGATAAGCAGAAGTGCACAGACCTAGTGCACAAGTAGGCAGTGACCATCGGAAGGTTCAGCCATCCTGCGCCGGAGAATCCCCAGCTGGCTGGCTGAAATAGTGAATATTGGCTTGTTTGACAGCCAAAGTATGGATGAAGGCAAGTTGTACATTTGATTGGAACAACTTCTGAGAAAGAGATTGAAGATCATGACCTAACATATACTCCAATTTGAAAATTTTCATTTTCCTTTTTTATTTTTCGGTTTCCTCCTCATTTCTGTTTTCCCAACAGGGCGGCCATGTGCAAGGTTGTGTATTTGTTTGTAAAGAATTCATTGGCAATTGTTGTAATCGATGTTTTGATTTCCAGTGTCCGTTGGTTGGAAGAGTATCTTGTTGCCTGAACCTTAAGGTGAAGAGGCAATAGTTCTTACTGCAAATTGAGTCCTATTGACGGTTTGACATACAGAATCCGATATACAAAAGAATAATGTCATTTCTACTACATTTAGCGGCCACATTGCTAATTCCTCTCTAATAAAGATGAACTGCACTCGCGTTTATAGGATTCACCTGTATTAGTGAGGTGGTCAACAATGTCAAGGACCCCAAAAAGAGTAGGCTTGTGGGACAATAGAAAGAAGAGCAACCCACCATTTTAATTTTCCATCATATACATGGATAAGGTAGGGACCAGGACCTACTTAATGGAAGAAAGTTCTTGGTTCCCCGTTTTTCAGTTGGCAGCTCAATCAACATTTTTATCTTCTTAGAAATGGCCTCCTTCTCTGGTTCTTCACCATTTATCTCCCACTCTCTAACAAGACCAAACCACTTCTCTCCTTGTTCATCACAAACGCCGCCACCTCCGCCCCAAAATCTGCCTTCACAACCGCCTCATTCTCCGACGCCAATTCAGCAGCTCAGCACAAGTTCATCCGAGCAGCCGCCGACATCGGTAAAAGCAGAGCAGCAAAAGCCTTCCAATACCAAAACCAAGGCAGACTCCACAGACTGGATAGCTTCCACCTTGACAAGGAGGTTTGGGATTGGTGCTGGCCTTGCTTGGGCTGCCTTTCTCACAGTTGGTGTTGTCTCTGAGCAAATAAAGACCCGCCTTGAGGTCTCCCAACAAGAATCAAACACAAGGTTTGCAAATATATGTATATACATATACATATATCCAAATTATATATTTATATTTTTTGATAATTATATATTTGTGCAGAAACGTTGAGAAAGAAGAAGAGGTGGTGTTACCTAATGGAATAAGGTACATTTCTCCCTTCAGAACTCTGAGGTTAAGCAAGTTTTCCAAGCACTTATAAGCATGTATAAGCACTTTCAAACGGACCCTAATTAAACACATGCATTTTTGCGTGCAGATACTACGAGCTAAGAGTTGGTGGCGGGGCTACTCCGAGGCCAGGGGACTTGGTGGTGATCGACCTGAAGGGCAAAGTAGAAGGCAGCGGACTGGTGTTTGTGGACACATTTGAGAGGGAGAAGAAGCCGTTGGCTCTGGTGGTAGGGTCAAGGCAGCCTTACAGCAAGGGAGTGTGTGAAGGGATAGAATATGTGATGAGATCCATGAAGGCAGGAGGCAAAAGGAGAGTGGTGGTTCCTCCAAGCTTGGGGTTTGGAGAAAATGGTGCAGATTTAGGCCCTGGTCTGCAAATTCCTCCTTTTGCAACCCTAGACTATATTATTGAGGTTGACAGAGTCTCAATTGCACCTGCATGAGGATCGTTCATTCTTTGTTAATTGTATATTTTTTATATTGATAAAAGAAAATGTGGAATAAATCATTTGCGTTTGGTTACATATAGGGTGTAACTTAGATAGGAAATTTCGATTCCGACCAACTCCGAATTGAGAATTTCTAATTTTGACGCATATCCGAATCCGAAAAATTGAATAGGAATCAGATGGTAATCACTTTAATGCCTACTTAGTTACAAGGTTATGCTACCAAACTTGACAATTAAGGTCATCTTCAACTGAAGGAGGATCAAAGGGCTCCCCTTAGCCCTATAGCCGCAAGAAATTATATTTTAATTAACAATGTCATGCGATATTTTATACCATCTCCAATTGAGGAGTCCAAATGGTCATAGGCCAAACATAGTCATTTGACAAAAAACCATCTCCAACTGAGAGGGTCAAAGGGTTGTAAGCTAAACATAGTTTATTATTTTAATTGAATTAATATGGTTATTTTAATTGAAGGGTCTGATGCCAGGTATTCGTTGGCATTCAAATGAGTTGAGCTAGAAGGGCTGGTAAAATGTCAAGCTTGACATTTTGATGCTAGAGGGCTGGGCTGGAAATGGCCTGCCCACTGGCCTAATTTGTGAGTATTGGCCCGGTAGATCTCACAAACCTTTAGGCTAACCCTCGATTAGAGACGATTTTCGTGCAATTTTGATTTATTTTTAAACGTATGATCCTTTAGCAGGTGTGTTGGAGATGGCTTACAAAACTTAATGTAAACCCTTTTAAATTTTATCAATTTTATAATAGGCCTCCGATGTGGGACAACATGAAGACTCTATTGTCGAGTTGTGCTTGCAACTTTCTATTCCGTTCCAAGGACTGCGTTAGAAACAAATCAGGGCTAAAAAATTCACCATTTCTCTTTCAGACTTTTTGAGAGAGAGAGAGAGAGAGAGAGAGAGAGAGAGAGAGAGAGAGAGAAATGGTGTTAAAACTGCAGCCAGAGACTTTTTCCTATTATATTGAATTTTCGAAGAGCTTCCTTTCCACTTTTTGATATCTCAGCAGCTGCAAGCAAAGCGTAGAGCTTTTTATTCAGGAGCAAAAACCCAGAACAATTTCCATGGGAAGAGTCTTGGATTCCAATTTCTTAGTTCTCACTGCCATTGGCACTGTAACCTCTCTTTCTCTCTAAAAGCTTTCTGCTTTCTGTTTTGTATATCTTTTTTCCTATTGGGTTGAATTTTCTCTCTAGAATATCTGCAATATGGTTTTTTATTTATTTATTTATTTATTTTATTTTATTTTTTAAGGTGGGGTATCAGTTGTTGTTCTTCATAGTCACTGCTCTTCTCAAGTTCGACAAAGTCACTGACTTTGCTGGTAATTCTTCTCTCTGAACTGAATTTATTTCCTGAGAATTTGATAGTTAATTAACTTAATTTCCTGCTTATCAATACTAATTAGAAACTGATTGGGTTGTTTGGTTGCCAAGAAAATGCTCAGATTTGTTTTTTGATATAATTATGACATTTTTTGTCTGTGATTAAATTTGTTCTTCCTTTTACATTTCACAGGAAGTACCAATTTTGTTATACTTGCTATTCTGACCTTGGTTGTCAAAGGTTCATGGCATTTTAGACAGGTATTGTATTATTATCTCCCGAAAGGTGTTTAATTTGCTCGCAGTTCGTGTTGATTACGGATAAAACAAATCTTCGGGGTTTTTTTTTTTCTTCAGGTAGTGTTGAGTTTGCTTGTGATAATATGGGGTCTTCGCCTCGGATTTTTTCTACTGATGAGGTATTTTGATGCTTTTGTGTCATTCTATTAAGCTGGTATACTTGCAGCATTGTCGAGTATCGAGTACAACATTACCTATATCGAAATCCAATCACAATTTTATTTCTCAAAGCGTTTCCTCATCAGGATTTTGCAATGGGGAGAGGATCGGCGTTTTGATGAAATACGTGGTAATCTAGGGAAGTTAGCAGTTTTCTGGATATTTCAGGTTCTCTTGCTTTCGCTGTTTTTGGTTTTATTGTACATCATTGTGTTGTGCTTGTTCTCTGAAGGATAAAGTGGATATGATTCTTAGAAGCAACCTGATTTTTCTGCAGGCTATGTGGGTATGGACTGTGAGTTTACCTGTAACAGTTGCCAATGCAAGCAACAGAATGCCATCGATCCAAGCTGCAGACATAATTGGTTGGATTATGTGGTCTGTCGGTTTTTCAGTTGAAGCTGCAGCTGATCAGCAAAAGTTAACTTTCAAAAGTTCTCCACAAAATAGAGGAAAGTGGTGCAATGTCGGACTATGGAAATACACTCGTCATCCAAACTATTTTGGTGAGGTTAGTATCTTCACATGCTTGCATTGTCTGCCTCACATACTTGCAAGTAATAACGTAACGAGACTCACAGATAAGTGGAAATATCATTCATCCAAGAAATTTCAACATGTTAGTATCTTTGCGTTAATTCTGTCAAATTCAAATGGAACCTTTATAAATGTTGTTGCTCAGATATTCCTTTGGTGGGGAGTATTTGTGGCTTCCACACCCGTATTGGAGGGTGCAGAGTGGCTGGTGATTCTTGGACCGATCTTTCTCACGTTGTTGCTTCTTTTCATCAGTGGCATCCCGTTGCTTGAGGTTTGCTTCTTCCCCTTTCTTATTGCCAAAATTCGTCGCACTTGAAAAGTTGCTAATGATTTGTGGTTGAACAATAACAGGAATCTGCGGATAAGAAGTTTGGAAACATAGACGAATATAGGCTGTATAAAAGATCGACTAGGTAAACTTCAGCTTTTCTTTTGGCACAAGTTTCATTCGAGTATGAATTGCAGTATCTGTGACCAACCTATTCATTATTTTGCAGCCCTCTGATACCGCTACCTCCAGTTATATACAAGAACTTGCCGATGTGGTTCAAAACAACTTTTCTCTTTGAGTTTCCTCTCTACAGCCGTAATCTTCCTCGAGAAAAGCCTAACTGGTAAGGCTACAATCTGTTAGAAATTATATTTTTTTTCCTCCTGAAGGCATAACTCTCAACTTATCATGTGCTGGTGTTGAGTTCATACATGTGCATATCTGCAATCATAAGATGAGTCTTCCGCACATGGAAAACGCTTAAACAAGAAGCAATTTAAAAACACAATCAGTGCGTGCGCATATTCTGAGTGCGAAAGAAGTCTGGAAATCGACAGTCTAGGGTATCCATAGGAAGAAACATTTTGAAAAATCAGGGGTTGAAACTGTAAACTAGATCTCCAAGGTAAAGTAGGAGCGTCCGGAATTAGGAATTGCCGTAATGAGAGAAGAACGGTTAAGGTGGTTTGGGCATGTGAACTGAAAACCTATAGGTTCTCCGGTTAGAATATATGATTATGAGATGGGGGAACACCTAGGAATACTCGGAATGAGACTAAGACAAGACATGAAGTATTTGGAGCTAACGGAAGACTTGGCACAAAAACAAGCTTAGTAGCGTTCTAGGATTCGTACAACTAACCTTAGTGGGATAAGGCTTCTTGTTAAAACTGTAAACTCAGGAGGTTCTGGTTCGATCATTCAATAGTGCATATATTTCATTTGCTACGTTTATGTTTTGATATGCCGAACTGTTTGTTCGAACTTGTAAGACGTTGC